ATCCCCAGTCAGGACATATACAAGAAACCAGAGAGTGCATGGATTGGTGGAATAATAAGTCCATGCCCCTCCCCACACCTCTCTCTCAACTCATTAAAAAATTTTACTTTGAGCCCTAGCTGGTTTGGCTCAGTGGATACAGCGTTGGCCTGCGGACTGAAGGGGCCCAAGGTTCAATTCCGATCAAGGGCACCTGCCTGGGTTGCGGGCTCAATCCCCAGTAGGGGGCGTGCAGGAGGCAGCCAATCAATGATTCTCTCTCAACTCTGAAGTTTCTCTCTCCCTCTCTCCTTTCTGAAATCAATAAAAACATATTTTTTAAAAAATTTTACTTTGAGATATTAGGAAAGTTTATAAATTTCTATCACCTTTTATCCCCTCTATGCCCTCTACAACCTCCATCCAATTTTTTTGGCTTATTAAAGAAAAGTCTTACAACATAATGGGGGAGCAGGGGGTCCAATGATAGAAAACTACAGAAATAAAGTACATTTAAACTTCAATCAAGGGCTTTTCAAATAAATGTTTTTGTGAAATTTATGTGTTTAAATTTTTCTGCTGAAAGGAAAGTGACTCCCTAAATAACCATGACAGAGAAAGAAACATATAGCAACACAGGACTGTACACAAGAAAGTTCATGAAGCACCAGTTCTCACCAAATACCGTGAACAGTTTTGCAAAGATAGTAGGTGTATAAGGACTTCGAAACTAGACTGCCATTAATCTCATGTTTACTCATTTGAAATGCATCCCGAGGCCAGGCCAGTATTCGAGCAATGAACCTGGAGTTTGATTCCCAGTCAGGGCACATGACCAGGTTGTGGGCTCAATCTCCTGTGGGGGACACGCAAGGGGGAGGGGGTGGTAGCAGCTGATCAAGGATTCTCTCTCATCGTTGATGTTTCTATCTCTCTATCCCTCTACCTTCCTCTCTCTGAAATCACTAAAAACATATTAGAAAAAAGAAAAAAATGCACTGCTAGGATTCTATTCACCAAAGTTGTAACAATTAAGGGGGTTAGAGGGTGATTAATTTCCTAGTCAGTCTTGCAGACAGAATAGAAACTTGTTTCTATAGATAAAACCAAACTATATTTTGTCTACTATAAAATGTTAGTTTGAAACTTTTTTTCTTTGTTAATCCTCACCTCAAGATTACTTTTTCCATTGCTTTTCTGAAAGAGTGAAAGGGAGGAAGGGGGAGAGAGGGGAGAAGAGAGAGAGAGCAAGAGAGAGAAACATCGAAGTGAGAGAGACACATAGACTGGCTGCCTCCCGCACGAGTCCCAATCCGGGGACAGGGAATGAACCCGAAACCCAAGTATGTGCCCTTGATTGGGAATCGAACCATGAACCTTCAGTGTGGGGATCAATGCTCTAACTACTGAATGCACCAGCCAAGACAATTTTAAACAGTTTTAAAGGACTTAGAGAATGTCACAGCTTCACAATCACAAGGTTTTACAGATTACAAAAGGAACTTATTACTTCCAACAGGATATTAAACATTCTGAATCTACGTGACATCTCAAAATATACTTTGAAGTCAATATAATTATAGAGGAAAAGAGGACATCTTGATAAAAGGGAGGCTGACCCCAGGGATAACGGATATGCTCTGAATGCCAAAGAATATTTCTCTGCACTTGTTTTAATCACAATATCATGACCAAATCTTTTAGCTATTTATATCAATTCTACTTTATCCCTTGTATTAGCTAAGAATTGTATCTCAGTATTTCAACTATTTGTTGAACATGTACTCTGAAAAAGACAATATACTAGCTCTGCAGTGTGCCAAGACCTGGTCCTGTTGTTACAGGGTAGTATTGAAACGCCCATCATTAAAGTTCATTCTGGTTTTCATAAATCAACATCATCAGATTCTTAATACAATGTTTCTCCCACTTATCCCTAGTTAGACCCTCTCACAGTCCAAGTCTTCCTTCTCCAAGAACTAAAATAGCCTCTTAATCAGAATCTCTGTTTTTCTATTCTATGCCCTTTTTTTTCTGATTTTTTAAAATATATTTTTCATTGATTTCAGAGAGGACATGAGAGGGAAAGACAGAAACACCAATGATGAGAGAGAATCATTGATGGACTTCGTCGGGATCGAGCCCACAACCCAACATGTGCCCTGACAGGGAATCAAATTGTGACCTCCTGATTCATAAGTCGACGCTCAACCACTGAGTCACGCCAATTGGGCCAGATACCTTTTTCTAAAGCACAGATCTCAACTAGCCATCTCCCTTCTCAAAATCCCTCAACAGTTCATCTCTGCATAAAGAATAAAACCCAAAATCATTAGTGTAGTTAAGTCATTCTAAATTATCTGCTATTCTCAAAACATTCTTCCACCCACTTGTATCTCTTCAAGTGGCTCCTTCCACCCACAATGTTCCAATGTCTAGCCTAAAACTCCTTTTTCTTTTTGCTAAAATCCTACACATCTTTCATAGCCCTAAGTCAGAAAAATTTCCAGACCTAAGTATGATTCAGGCAACTGACAGAAGAGGAAATATCCTTTATTTTAATTTAGTTCTTTAGTCCCCATGTAGATTTTCTAAGTTCATCCTGCCTTTGCCTTTGTGGCAGTTATCTTTCTGACTATAAATATTAAGAGGTATATAACTATTCTTTTGATTATGTAAACAGGACATGTCAAATTCATCATATCACCTGTGGGTTCAAACTTTTGAGCCTACAATGCTAAGGGCCAAATCCCAAAACACTGTAACTTCCCCACCCAAGTACAATGCCTTGTGTATAATGTTTCTCCTCTTACTTCAATACCTCCATAATATGTGGGCTTTTCAATAAATTTCACCCAATGGAATGCAGTGGCATCCCTTTAATGAGATAGGTTTGGGAAAAATAACTAAAACTTAAGTATCTTAGACAGTTCTAGGTAGGAGAAAATTAGGCATAGTAAGATTTTATAATCAGTTTATAGAGCTCAAAAGAAGCTTGTCAATCATTTATCTTAATAATACACCAAATGAAATCGAAAAGACGTTGAGGATTCTTCATGTCACAGAGCTACAAGCTAGAGCCAGAACCTAACTCTCCTGATTTCATAAACTAAGAGCATGCTTCATTGTAATATGCTGTATCTTCAAAAATGCTTTAATTAGCTATAGATAAATGTATAAAATGTTTTCATTTATTATTTTGAATTAGAACATTTAGGACGCCTAAAAGGAGGCATTCATCAATTACATGATCATTTACCTTCTTTTTTTCCAGAGATACAAGGAAAAGGGAGAGATAGAAACATCAATGATGAGAATCATGGATCGGCTGCCCCCAGTACCCCTCCACCCCCACCCAACTAGAGATCGAGCCCTGCCCTAACCAGGAATCGAACCATGACCACCAGGTTCATAGGTTAACATTCAACCACTGATCCATACCGGCTGGCTGGGCATTTACTTTTCTTAAATTAATTCTAAGCAAGCAATACTAAAAGAAAAATAATTAATCTGAGCATTTAATTGGGTCAAATAATCTGTATCCTATAAATTTAAAATGCACACCATCAAAGCATGGCACAGACTGGGGGTTCACAAAGGGAAGAGGGGAGGGAGGTGGGCAGAAAATAACGAAAGAATTTATATGCATAATCCATGGACGCAGATAGTAGTGTGCAGGCCTGGGGTGGGGTGGGAACCCAGTGGAGGGGGGCAATGGAGGACATCTGTAATACCATCAACAATAAAGATAAATACAATTTTTAAAATCAATATAAAATACACACCATCTAAATTTAAAACTAGAATATCTAGGATTAACAGGTTAAATAACAATAACTAGTAATGGGAAATGCTCAAAGACTTTCAACATTTGAAGTAGTAATAATAATAATAGCTAGCAATTATTAAAGACAGTGTCTAACACGTATGGGTATCAAGCTAAGCATTTTACATACTTTCTTTTTTCATTTTCATCTTCACAGTAACTTTATAAAGCATGGTTTGTTTTTTGGTTTTGTTTTGTTTTGTTTTTTTAAAAGACTCCTTTTTTTAAAAAAATATATTTTATTGATTTTTTACAGAGAAGAAGTGGGAGGGATAGAGAGTTAGAAACATTGATGAGAGAGATCGATCAGCTGCCTCCTGCACGCCCCCCACTGGGGATGTGCCCGCAACCAGGGTACATGCCCCTGACCGGAATTGAACCCGGGACCCTTGAGTCCGCAGGCTGACACTCTATCCACTGAGCCAAACCGGTTCGGCAAGCATGGTCTTTTAAAAGATGAGAAAGCTAAGGCCTAGACAGCTTAAATAACTTGTCCAAGATTATGAAAGTAGCAAACTATACTGTCTACCCAGACCTGTGTTTTTAAAACCCGAATACCTAACTTCTAAGCTATTTCCTGTTAAGACTACCTATATTATTTTCATCTTTAAAATAAAATGCCTTTGAAAAAAAAACTTCCAACTAATGAAGTCAGCTTACTCGGCCTTAGTGAACAGCCAAGTTACAACTTGCATTTAAAGAAAGCTTTTCTACTTGCATTTACAAATTGGCTACCTCCCTATGTTAAAATTAGTTAAAATGTATTCTAAAATTGATTTTTCTGGTGATGATAAATGTCAACCATAATACTTCACCAATACACCTTTAACAACATAGTTTTTTACTAATTTTGAACCAGAATAACAGAAGTAGGTTAATATTATATACCTAGGAAATTAAAAACTTAAAAGAAATAATTTTCAGTGGCACCAGATCTGCTTCACACAGCTAAACTTGCCATTTTTCTTCTTTTTTGGCAGTTTTAATATTGAGCATCTGGAGGAGGAAACGGTATTTGCAAATCATCACTTAGCTTCGGGTGCATCAGTTTCTTCACTCATTATATACATGATTCAAGATTACTCTCTTTTAAAAATATTAATTATTATTCTAAAAATCATTACCATTGATCATCGAGAATTTATGACAATTTACTCAACAGCTCGTCTGTTATAACAAAAGGCTATTAACCTACCTGTCACTGCTGGTACTACTGCTGCTGCTGATTGAATCACTACTGGAGGATCTACTCCTAGAGCCGCTGCCGCTAGGGGACCTTGTGAGTCTGGATGCTTGGCTAGCCAGCCTCTGAGGAGACTGATTTCTAGATTGGGATGAATGCGGTGACCGACTCCTGCTGTGCTGGTAATTCCGCTCAGGCCTTCTGCCTCGTACCTCCCGGGTAATATCATCCCTGTAGATATCCCTGTGTACCACACTGGGCAGCGTAAACTGCTCCCGAGCCCTAGGTTCGTATCGGGGGTCATGAGCATCAAAACGGTTTGGACTTCGACTCCGAGAAGAATAATAGAGCCCATGTTGTAAAGTCCGTTCACGAGGATCTCTATAGTAATCCTGATCGTAATGTCTTGTCCGATCAAATCCTCCCGTCCCCCGTTCATGGTGTCCATAGGCACTATGTTCATAAGCACGCTCCCTGTTATCTGAAGCCCTGCATTTTAGGAGGGGGAAAAATATTTAATCAATCAGAAAGGGACAAGCAAAACTAAAAATAAGTCATGCAAACATTCACTTCAGCATTGTCTGTCTTTACAACTGATCATTTTCTAAACAGCATTAACCTACTTATTAAACAAATACTAACAAGCTTAACATTTTACTTGACTCCAAAACTTATTTGGACAGCTGAGTAATCATTGTTTTAATTGTATATTGATTGGGCTTTCATGACTAGTGTTCTGCAAGTCAGTTACTCTTTTTATTAGGGATTTTCTGGTTTATATACAGAAATAGACATATGCTATCTCCTTTTCATTTTAATTTTAATGGAACAAGAAGAAACTGTCATTTTAATATGAAAGTTTTCTATACTTTCATCTCATTAAAATATATACCAAACTTTTATTTACTATGTAAATGTTTTTTAGGCAAAATTTCCATGACACATTTTTAACACAGTCATGAAAGCCCTATTGTGATGTATGTCCCAGCTGTAGGAGGGCATTCTCAAAGAAGTCCAGAAAAAACTTCAACTATAATTTTTTCTCATTAACTTTCGACTTCTTAGGTAATTATAAAAATTACAAGATTATGCAAACTGCTGTGCCCAATCACATTTAATAATAAAAGTGGAATCTTAAAAAGAAATACTTAGGATATTAAAATACTGGATTGCCACATACTATTCTATGGTAAATTTAATTAATTAAAGAATAAAGGTTATTTTACCTCTTTGTGCTATCAAATTCCACATAATTTTTAAAACGTCTATTCCACGATTCAATTTGTTAATATAAGTACTTAATGGTTACAGGAAATACGTTCACTTAGATTTTAGCAATACTCAATTTGCCTATGATGAAATTAGGCAACTTTTGGAATTTTAAGAGTCTCTAAGGTTACTTATAGCAATGGTTTAACTTAAAAAAAATTTTTCTGTAGGACATATCTGTCAACCTAAGAGTGCAAAAATTGTTGCATGTACAATTACACACATGCAATTGTTAGTACTTAAAACTAGGTCTAATTCTATAAGAAATCTTATATTCTCTACTTTGGTAGGAAACCAGAACTCATTTCCTGAGTCTCTAAAAAGACCATTTCACTTGAATTTCAACTTAAGACTGAGTTTCTTCTCAATGTTATATTTGGAACTGCCTTCTATCAAAAGAGATTAGGAATCATGAAAAATGTAGAAGAATTAGGATCTCTCAAATGAAGAATATCTGGCAAAAATCTTACAATACTATGTCCCCACTACATGCCTAGATTCCAAATTTCTCCACTAATCTTCATCTCATCCACCATTTCACTTAGTAACAAATATACCTTCCTATGCTGCATTTGTTTTTTGCAGCCATATGAAAAGCAACTGGCATGACAAAAAATTCAATAATAATATCTTTCCTACTTAAATGATTGTTTCCTTTTTAATTCACTACATTTCTGGAACTTGAATAGTATTTCAATGTCTAACAAACAAGAGAGTTTCTTTTCAGACTTAAGAGAAAGTTTAATAAATAATTCTATTAGTATCCTATCAAATATTAATCAGTGAGAGCTGTTATTAATTATATAATAAGCAATAGTTCTAGGAGAATTACTGCTACAGCTGATAGTTTATAACTATGCAAAGTTCTTATCCATTAGGAAGATACAGAAGGCAGGCACAAGAGCTAGCAGAGCTGAAATCTAATAGCTATTCTTTAATTCATCTATTAGTACTAAATACTTCTAGAGTTAGTGGGGGGAAAAGAGAGAGTTTGACTTGGGTTAGGAGAGGGGCTAATATACACAGGTCAGGACATACCAACCTTTTCCAAGTGTGGAAACACGACCTATAATCCCAATTAAATCTAGGGAGAGAATTGTGAACATAACTTCCCCAATTTTGGCCCCTCTTACGGGGGTAATCCACCTTCTTAATGGGCAAGGGTGTCAAATGATATTTAGATGAACCACAAGGAAAAAAAAAATCTTAGTGATCAGATAAAATAATTCCACTGGAAGCAAGTTGTCCCAGACAAACTGTAACTCTCAAACCCCCAGACTTCTTTCTTGAGATAGTAGACAATTATAAATTGATCCACATTCATAAAAATTTCCAGCCCTAAGTATGAATCAGGCAGCTGACAGAAGAGGAAATGATTCCACCAAATGAGGAAGGCAGAGTTGCTTGCCAATTGTTCACCTTTGTAGCCATCCAGCACAGTCAATTTTGATTGCAGTATCCACACTGATCATCACCATGTGTTCAAACTAAAGTACCTTTAATTGGGCAGCAACTTACTTCAGAAAGGAGATAGTAATCCTCTTCTCCTGGGCTAATGGAATTTTGACTGCATGACATCCCATAGACTCCAGAAATTAGGAAACAATGGCTATATTCCAGGATTTAAGAAGGTCCATCATCTCAACTTGCCCCATTCCATCCAGGAGTATAATTCCAACATGGAAATTGTGTAGATCCAAAATGGGAAAATCAAACAGTGCCTTCATTCTTCTTCCTCCAAGTTACACATTTCCAGGTTAAAGTATTGTTTGTAGAATCCAAGGGGTTGAATCATTATGATGTGCTAGGTTTTTTGATGACAATCCAATTCATTTGTACACTTTATGTAGTGAAAATTGAGAAGCAGATATTAACTTCTAAAAGAATCTGTAGGCTCTAATATTCCAGAAATATTCCATATAGTATAACCACAAAATCTGTAGCCAAATAGCTCCGTCAGGTAAAAGGAATATATCCAAGGAAGGCCTTATCATTATCCAAGAGAAGAAATAATTAAATCTAGAAGACAGGTAACTCCAAAAATGCTGCCATATAAAATCTTCCACCACTTCATATCTCAGGAGTAGATATCCAACCAGCTGCAGGAAATATCCTCTACGATTCCATAATACCAGCCACTGGGATAGAAATTACTTCCGTTTCCAACCCAAAATAGGAAACATTGAAAATGCCCAAAACTTTAAATCCATCTGGGGCCCCTAAATATGAGTTTCTGTTTCTCACCATATCAAATACAAAATACCTGCCTACAGAAACCTTGGAACTTACCCATCAAGTCTCCGCTCATAACGTCCTTCTCGTGCATGAAGTGATGGTGGAGGGCCATAAGCAGGCCCTCCACCACCTCCTCTGAACCCAGAAACCTCTCTACTACGAGATGTTATGGAAACTGTATCATCCAATCCCCGAGCAGCACTTGGAATGGTGCCTGGTTCATTATAATCCGTGCGTAGGTCTCTATCTCCCATTTTGTTGACCGAGTTGTGAGCTTTCTGTGCACTTTTGATGTCCACAAAATCCACAAAGGCAGCCACTCCTCCTTCAGATCCCCTCTTAGGGAGAATTTTGACACTTTCCACGCGGCCATATCTAGAAAAAAAATAAACATTATTGTTGCACATCAATCATTTTCCAAAAATGGGTTTTTTAATTTGTTTCTTACTTTTAGAAAATTTATATTATGTATGTATGAGGGAGGTGTTACAAAGTGACTTTTTTTTTTAATTTCAGAGAGAGGAAGGGAGAGAAGAGAAACATCAATGATGAGAGAATCATTGATCAGCTGCTTCCTGCGTGCCCCACTGGGGATCAAGCCCACAACCCGGGCATGTGCCCAGACCTGACTGAGAATCGAACCTTGATATCCTGGTTCATGGGTCGATGCTCAACCAGTGAGCCACACCAGTCGGACCAAAGTGACTTTTTTCTTTCTTGGGGAAAATATTTAGAAATGTTTTTACCACATTATTTTATTAGTCTCACTCCTTAAATATAGTATTTACTAAACTACCTTTTACCTTTCTAGAACAGTTAGCTGAAACATATCTCTCAGAAGTTTTTAGGAAGTTGTACATTCTACAAAGGGATATTGGACCTAACATTGACCAAAGTAACTTAGAAACCTTAAGATTTTTATTAAAACCTGTAGCCCTCGCCGGTTTGTTGGCCTGGGGACCAAAGGGTCCCGGGTTCGATTCTGGTCAAGGGCATGTACCCCGGTTGCAGGCTCCTCCCAGGGCGTACAGGAGGCAACCAATCGATGTGTTTCTCTCACGTCAATATTTCACTCCGTCTTTCCCTCTCTCTTCCACTCTCCCTAAAAATCAATGGAAAAATATCCCCGGGTGAGGATTAACAACAACAAACAAACAAAAAAAACCCAACCTGTAACTAAAAATAGTTATTCTACAGATTTCATTTTAACTTAATTCATTAAGTGAAAATGATCTTACTGAAAAGTGAGGTGATTTCAAATATTCCTTACTTAAAGGCAAAATAACCCAAATATTTTATGTCTATTTACAAATGACAGTCTAATTCTGTTAACGTAGTTTTTTGCTATTTAATTTTCTTTTCCAAAGGGTTAAAAGAAAACTGCTAAGATTTATAATTTAGGTATAATTATTTCATATAAGTTAGTAAGCCTAAGAAAAATCTTTGGATTAACCATATGTTCTCATTCTTATTGCCAAAAACTGTTTACTATGTGTGTAAAGAAAAATTTTAGGGCACCTTTTATATTTTGAAGCATATATGTTATGAAAGAAATATAATTATTTGGAATAAAAAATTCATGAAAATTCTACAAATTTCAAGAGTGAATTATATTTTATGTACTTGCAATTTGGCCTTTTAGAAAGGCAGGTACAACACTTTTATTATCTTTTAAATATATTTTAATTGATTTCAGAGAGAAAAGGAGAGAGACAGACAGAAACATCAATGATGAAAGAAAATCACTGATCGGCTGCCTCCTGCACAACTCTGACTGGGGACTGAGCCCGCAATTCCATGTGCCGAGACCTGGAATTGAACCGTTACCTCCTGGTTCATAGGTTGACGCTCAATCACTGAGCCACGCGAATTTGGCAGGTATAGCACTATTAAGTACAGAATGCTTATTCCTGGACAACTGAAGAGCATGATTTTACACTTCCTCTGAAAAAGCTGACAACATTATCAGAAAGCAGAACTTTTCTTTTTATATCTTCTAGTATAGTTTAAATTATTTCCTCTCATAGGGAAAATACAATCATCAAATCCAGTTTCAAAAGGCAACTGAACTAGAAGGAACAAAGTTATTTGGTATAAATGAATTGATAAAAGAATCTTTTTAACTGGGGGTGGGGGGAGAATGACAAAAATTGAAATAGTTCATTCCATACAAACATTAAAAATACCTTCCGATGTATCTGACAAAGGATCTGTATCTAGAATACAAGAAATCTTACAGCCACCTATTTTTTTTAAATGGGCAAAACACTTCACCAAAGATATACAGATGGCAGATAAAGCACAGGAAGATGCTCAAAATCATTAGCTGTTAGGGAAATGCAAATCAAAACCAAGATGACATACCACTTTATAGCCACTAGGATGGCTAGTATTTAGAGAAAAAGAGAAAACAAAGAGAAAAATAAGTGTTAGCAAGGATGTGGAGAAATTTGAAACCTTGTGGAACTGTAAAAATGGTACAGCCGCTGTGGAAAGGGTTGGCATTTTCTCAAAAAGTTAAGCATAGAATTACCATATGACCCAGCAATTCTAATCATAGGCATATGCCCAAAAGAACTGCAAACTGGGACTCAAACACATATATGTAGCACCAAGTTCGTGGCAGCATTAGTCACAATTTCACAATTGCCAAAAGATGCAAACCCGAAGTGTCCATTAACAGATGAATGTATAAAACAAAATATGGTATATACATAAAGAGTATTATATTAAGACATTAAAAGAAATGAAGTTTTGCTCATCTGGTGTGGCTCAGTGGTTGAGCATCAACCTATGAACCAGTGGGTCAGGGTTCAATTCCCAGTCAGGGCATATGCCCAAGTTGCAGGCTCGATCCCCAGTCTGCGGCATGCAGGAAGCAGCTGATCAATGATTCTCTCTCATCATTAATGTTTCTATCTCTCTCCCCCTCCCTTCCTCTCTGAAATCAGAAATGAAGTTTTGATACATGCTACAACATAGATAAACCTTCTGGACAAAGCCATGGTGGCGGGACCAAGACAGAGGCGATTAGGGGCGATCAGGCTGGCAGGGTAGGGCAATTGGGGACGAGCAGGCTGGCGGGGACTAATCGCCTCTGTCACGGTCCCACTACCATGGCTTTGTCCAGAAGGATGTCTGGAAGGTCTCCCAGTCTAATTAGCATATTACCTTTTATTAGTATAAACTAGAGGCCCAACGCATGATTAAATCATGCCCATGTAGAGTCCCCTAGGCCTAGCCTGCCGTCGGGGCCATGTCCGCCGCCCCACAAACGCTGCCAATACCTCGCACACTCCACGGACACTGTCGGAACCCACCCTGCCCACCATGAGAGCCGCTGCTCGTTTGGTCATGATGCCGTTATGGCGTCACGACCACAGGCCTTTTATGATATAGACAAGATTACTAAAATTCTGAGACACACCAAAAAATATATTTTTTGCCAATCTGACAAAAAAAACAAACACCAAGGTATACTTTTGATTCATTCACACCAGACTGCTACTGTTGTGGTGGCTGTTGTCATTTTTTTTAAAAATATATAATCTAAGCAAAAAGAGATCAGGGCCCCTGACTAGTCAGGTATTACATGTTTTAAAAATTCTTGCCGAAACTGGTTTGGCTCAGTGGATGGAGCGTCGGCCTGCGGACTGGAGGGTCCCGGATTCGATTCCGGTCGAGGGCATGTGCCTGGGTTGCGGGCACATCCCCGGTGGGGGATGTGCAGGAGGCAGCTGATCGATGTCTCTCTCTCTCATCAATGTTTCTGACTCTCTATCTCTCTCCCTTCCTCTCTGTGAAAAATCAATAAAATATATTTAAAAAAAAAAATTCTTGCACCACAGCACACCAGTTGGAAATCACTAATCTAGAATGACAATGACGAATTTAAAATTTTAATTGTTAGCATGACAATGATAAATTAAAAGTTAATGATTTCATTTTATATAAAGACAAATATCAAAAATTGATATCAACCCATGGAAAACTGGGGGAAACATTTGCAAATTATGTAATAAGAAACTTTTACAACTCAACAATGAAAAAGACATAATGCAATTTAAAAATGAGCAAAGGATATCGTCTAGCTAGCCAGTATGGCTCAGTGGTGAGCATTGACCTTTGAACCAGGAGGTCACGGTTTGACTCCCGGTCAGGGCACATGCCCAGGTTGCAGGCTCCATCCCTGGTGTGGGGCATGCAAGAGTCAACCAATCAATGATACTATCTCATCATTGATTTTTCAATTTCTTTGTCCCTCTCCCTTCCTCTCTGAAATAAGTAAAAAAAAATATTTAAAAATAAAAATAAAACTGAGCAAAGGATATAAATACACATTTCTCCAAAGACAGTATACAAATGGCCAATAAGCATATGAAAATTTATTCAACAACTTAGTCTTTAGGGAAATACAAACCAAAACCACAATGACATAGCATTTCGCATCCACTAGGATAGCTAAAATAAAAAAGATAGTAACAAGTGATGATGAGGATAAGGAAAAACCTAAACCTAGTGCATTGCTGGTGAGATTGCAAAGTGGTGCAGCCACTTCAGAAAACAGTTTATCAGTTCCTCAAAATGGTAAACCTAGAAATTACCATATAAGCTAGCAACTCCAACTCCTAGATATATACCCAAGAGAATTAAAAATGTACATCCACATAAAGATGGTACAGAAATGCTCATAGCATTATTCATAATAGCCAAAAAAGGAAACAATCCAAATGTACAACAACTGATTAATGGATTTTTAAAATGTAGTGTGTCCATATAATGAAATTGTTCAGTAATACAAAGGAATGAAGTAATAAGAGATGCTATACAACATGGATGAACCAATATTATGCTAAATGAAAGAAGCCAGTCACATATTGTATAATTCCATCTGTATGAAAGGTTCAAAACAGGCAAATTCACAGAAATAAAAAGCAAATTACTGGTTGCTACAGACTGGGGAGGAGAGAGAATGGAGAGCTAATGGGTATGGGGTTTCATTCTGCAGTGATGAAAATGTTCTGAAATTAGTGGTGATGTTTGCAAAACTGTGAATATACTAAAAATAGCTGAATTGTACACTTTATACACTTACACACTTAGTATAACAAAGCACACACCATTTTTAAACATTAACTGCAATATAATTTTTAAAACTATTTGAAACTTTACAAATAAGTCTTGACCCAGAAAGGCTAGTTTTCATGGAAGACCATAAATGGTTAGCAGAATGTTTCATTTCAAAGTAACTGACACACCAATATTTTGTATAATGGACACACGGTATGTCTACATATTAAGCTTTTTTATAATCCAACTGACCATTAATATATACTTTTAAATCTTCATAGCATTCCAATGATCTTTATGTGCTATGAAGAATGATGCTATTAACAAGATTTTCTAA